CCCCCGCCCACGTCCGTCAGAGCGCCCGCGACGCCGCCATGACCTACCACCGCCTGCACCAGCTCCACCTCGCCGGTATGGCCCCGCGCCGCGGGGGGTCTGGGGGATGGGACCCCTGAGCCCCGCATCCCCCTCTGAGCCCCCCGTCCCCGCAGGGAAGCAGGCCGGGGGGCACCTGCTGGCCATCAACCTGGCGCTGAGCGCCGTCAACCTGGCCGAGTGCGCCGGCGACGCCATCTCCGTGGCCGCCCTGGCCGAGATCTACGTGGCGGCTGCCCTGCGGGTCAAGGCCAGCCTACACCGCTGCTTCCACTTCTTGGCTGTGAGTGTGGGGCAGCCCCCTCCACCGTGGGGCGGGGGGGAGTCCTGTCTGTCCGCTGGGACCCCGTCTTGGGTCCCCCCCTGACCCCCTGCTCTCCCCGCAGCGCCCCTTCCTCTGCAGCGCCCGGCGCGTGGCCCTGTCCCATGGCGGGGCCGTGCCCCCTGCCATGCAGTGGCTCTGCCACCCCTTGGGCCATCGCTTCTTCGTCGATGGGGACTGGGCCGTCAAGGGCGTCCCGAGGGAGACCATCTACAGCTCTGCCGGCAACCCAGGTAACACCCGCCCCCTGGCACCCCCAGCCCCCCGTTTCGGGGTGGAGGCGTACCCGCTCACCGCCCCTCTGTGCCGCAGTGGACCCGCTGGCACAGGTGACTCAGCTCTTCCGTGAGCACCTCCTGGAGAAGGCGCTGTGCTGCGTGGCCATGCCCGAGCCCGGCCGCCCCGCTGCCCAGGGAGAGGGGTAAGTGCCGGGGTGGGCACCCCACTCCCTCCGCCCGGCGTGGGGCCGGCCCCACTCATGGCCCCTCTCCCTGTAGGCGCTTCTCTGACGCTCTCGAGTACCTCCAGCTCCTGAATGGCTGCTCCGATGCCAGCGGCGTGCCTGGCCCTGCGCCCTCCATCAGCTCCGGCTTGGCAGCCGTCACAGGTGAGGCCAGTGTGTCCCCCCTCCCTGGGGACACTTTGTGTGGCGGGCCACGGGAGTGGTGGACACCCTGCTCCCATGTCCCTCCTGCCCCGCAGGCACCGACCCCGTGTCCAAGTGGTGGGCGTCCATCATTGGCACAGTTATTCACTGGCTGCAGGGAGACGAGGAGGGGGCCGAGCGCCTCTACCCGCTGGTGGAGACCATGCCCCGGGCGCTGCAGAGCTCTGAGTGAGTGCCAGGGGCAACAGGGATGGGTGGCAGCGCATCGCACACCTCCCTCCTTTGTGGGCTGGCATAGCCCTTGCTAACACGCTCTGAGCACTGTGGCTGTGCTGCCCCGTGTCCACTGAGGGGGGGCACGACCGCGCCCAGCGAGGGGCCTGCAGTGACTGCGTGTCCCCCCACGCCCTTGCAGGAAGCCCCTGCCCCGTGCCGCCCTGCACTCCTTCAGGGCCGTCCGGGCCATGCTGAGCAAGCAGGACGGGAGCCAGACCAGCCTGAGCCACTGCGAGAAGGCCAGCAGCTGCCTGCGGGAGAGCCTGGAGCTCGGCAGCCCCCCGAAGGGCACCATCGACAAGGTGAGCCGGGGTGGGGGGCAAGGTGGCCGCCCGGCCCTGGCGGGAGGTGCCCCTGGCCCTCGCAGGGGTGCATTGTAGTTGCATTGCATGTGTCAGACTGGGAGTGCAATGCCCCTGCCATGCAGCCCGGCGGGGGCCCCGCGCAGCGACGCCTGCCCGCAGGGACCTCCTTGGCCCCCCTTGCTGTCCATCCGTCCCCCCTGCTCACCCAGCTCCCCTCGCCCCCCCTTCCCTCAAGGTGGTCCAGCTCCTGCTGTGTGACCTGCTCCTCGTCACCCGCACCAACCTGTGGCAGCAGCAGATGAGCGTCAGCCAGCAGCGCAGCTGCCTCTACCAGGCGTCCGCCCTCGAGCTCCGCGGCTTCCAGCAGGACCTCAGCAGCCTGCGGCGCCTGGCCCAGACCCTCCGCCCCGCCATGCGCCGGGTGAGCCCCCCGACCCTCATCCTGGTGGCTCCCCTCAGCCCCTGCACCCGGCCGTGCTCACTGTCCCCCCGCCCCTCCAGGTGTTCCTGCACGAAGCCACCGCCAGGCTCATGGCCCGGGCCAGCCCCACGCGCACCCACCAGCTGCTGGACCGCAGCCTGCGGAGGAGAGGGGTTCAGGGCAGCAAAACAGGTGGGACATGGGGTGGGAGACCACCCGCTTCCCGCCCGCAGCACCCCAGCAGTGCTGGGTGATGGGGCGCGGGGGCTTCCTGCCCGCGCTGTGGTGGTGGCACCTGCTCTGGGGTGGGCGAACGGCCCCGTCACCGTGCCAGAGCACCCAAGGGAGGGTCGGCGGCTTCCAGTGGCACCCTGGGGGCTTACACCCGCTCTCCCCTCCTTGCAGCCGGCGAGCCGGAGAGCCACCCCACGCCGCGGGAGCACGCCGAGGCCCTGCTGCTGGCCTGCTGCTACCTCCCACCCAGCTTCCTCTCGGGGCCGGGCCAGCGCGTGGGCATGCTGGCCGAGGCCGCCCGCACCCTGGAGAAGCTGGGTGACAAACGGACGCTGCACGACTGCCAGCAGATGATCATCAAGCTGGGCAGCGGCACCACCGTCACATCAGGCTAGCTGGGGATGGGGGGCACGCTGCCAGCCCCCCTGCTAGCCCCCCTGGGTCCGGGATGTGGGGAGGGGAGGTGGCTGGCAGTGGCGGGGAGGCTCGTGCCTCAGTTTCCCCCCGGGATGGGGACCCCTTCTGCGGGACGGTGATCGGGAGCACGTTTTAAGGTGGGGGCGGGGGGCAGGGTGATGCCCGGTGCCACCGGCGGCGGGTGTGGAGGCTCCCGGCGTGGGACAGCCACGCGTGGGGCACCCCCTGTGGGCTCGGCCACCCTATGGCTCTGTCCCTGTCCCGAGCCCGCTTGGGTGGTGGGACGTGGGGACCTCTAGTGACACTGTCGCAGTATTGCATGGCACGGGGATGCTTGGCCAGCCTGGCCCCGGTGCCACCGCGGACCCCCGCAGTGCCCGGGCACGGGGGGACCCCCGGCCTCGCCCCCTCTCCCGGTGTCCCTGCCCGGCCCCCCGCGGGTCCCGCTGCGGCAGGGGGGACTGGGGCGCCTCGGCTTTGCCCCCATGGGGGGGGGGAGGTTTCGCCCCATGGTGGCAGCTAAAGGCCTCCTCCCCAACCATGCCCCTGGTAGGCAAGAGGGGACCCCCAGCCTATCCCTCTCCCCGCCCCCCCAGCACTGACCAGTCCTCCCCAGTTAGGAGCTGCCACCACCCCTGGGCACGGCCAGCCCTGAGAGCTTGCAGAGGAGGGATGGCAGGGTGGCACGGGGCTCCCGGGGGGCTGGTGGGTGCCCCCGTCCCCTTGCTGCACCCCCACCTTGTACATAGCCCCCTGCCCTGCCCTAGCCCCCCCGCCTTGCCTTTTTAAATGGTATTTTCATAGTTGGAGAGTTTTGTACAGACAATTAAAGCTGATTATTTATACCAGTGTGTGCTGGACTCGGGGGGTGGGGACAGACACCGAACCTGGGGGGCACACAGAGCCTGGCTGGGGCAGGAGGGGACCCCCCTGACCCTGGTTGGGCACCCCCTTCGGCTGGGCACCCCCTTCGGCTGGGCAGCCCTGGCTGTGGGTCCTGCCTGGGGAGGGCTGCACGGGATGGGGGGGACAAGTGTAGCAGGGATGGGGACACTGGGGGACAACGGGCCCCAAACACACCCTCCTTACCCCAAAATGTGCTGGGGGTGCTGCTCCCCCCCCCATACCCCCACCCCACCGCAGCGTCCTCTCCAGCCCAGCCCTACAGCGTGACCCTCGGTGCTGGCGGCACCTGGGGACAAAGCCCCGGGGGACCCCTGGCAGCCCCCCGGGAGAAAGAGAGGCCACGAGCAGGGCGCCACGTACTTCCAAAACAATCGTTGTATCTTTATTGACGCTCTGAATGCAATGACCTGTTTTTTTACTCTTAAGGAAAATAAACATCTTTTAGAAACAGCTTGTTACACACAATCTTCAGTGTGAAGCAATATACTAATAAGAACACTAGTCTTAACATTTACAGTCTTCATATATATTATATATATGTATATGTATACATATATATACACTATATAATGAGGCAATATATAATACACACGGTTTACCATTTTACAGTCATATGTACAAGATGTCACTAAAAATAGCCAGATTTCAGGCAACACTGCCAGGGACACTGGGATTTTTTTTTTCTTTAAATTAATTATTTTATTATTCTTTCTCCTTTTTTTTCCCCTCCTTTTTTTTTTTTTTAAATGCATGTTTTTCACTCCCGTGTCCGAGGCAAGCTGCTGAAACGACAGACATTTTGTGGCCAGCAAACCTTGAGGGTGAGGGCTGGGTGGGACGGAGGGGACGCGACAGCCGGCGGGGACACAGGGAGCTGGCTCTGCGGGTCGGGGGGGACGGATGGGGCCAGGGCTGCAACCCCCCTTTGCAGGTTAGGGTGGCTGGAGGCTCTGTTTTTTAGGATGGGATTTGGGGTTAATTCGCCCTGGGTTGGTTATTTGCTACCTGTGCCGGGGTGCGGGTGGTGCAAGGCTGGGGTGCACGGGGTGTGGAGATTGGGGAGCCGCGTAGGGCACCCTGCGGGGACACGGGTGGGGGGCGATCCCAGTGCTGGGCAGCCCCCCAGCTCCCCTGAGGCGTCTGGGAAGGGAAGCAAAAGCCAAGGGAGCTGAGTGAACCCAGCACCCAGGGCAGCGAGGGGAGAGCCAGGGCCACGGAGAGAGGGGATGGAAGTGCCTCCTCCTCCGGCAAGGACCCTGCTGCGGCTGGAAGCCATTTCTGGGCTGCTTGCCCTCTCTTGCACCAGGATAAAACCCTGGGATTCACCCAGCGCCATGGGGCTTGCACCCAGAGCCTGGGGTTTGCACAAGCACAGGGAGCAAAGCCCAGCCCCAGCAAGAGGAGCCGCAGAGGAGGTGCTGGCGAGGCCGAGCAGAGGGAGGAGGGTGGGGTTTTGGGGTCCCAGAGAGCAGGCCCAGGTGTCCCCGTCCCAGCAGCGCCAGCGCCCCAGGGAGCGGGAGGGTGGCGGGTGCGACGGGCCGGGGTTGGGAGGGAGGCAGCAGGGCTGGGGCAGCCCGGTGGGCACCCACCAGCCCGGCCAAGCGCCCTTTGCCCCGGCGGGGACCTGGCCGCCTGGCGCAGGGCTGGCACCCCGGGACAGGCAGGCTGGGCGCAGGTGGGGCAGACAGGAGATGGAAGAACGAAACGGAAAAAGCAGAGTGGTGTTTCAAACAGCAGGCCGTTGTTTGTCTTTTTTTTTTTTTCCTTTTTTTTTTTCTCCTTTTTTTTGTCTTTTTTGTCTTTTTTGTTTTTCCTTTTCTCCGCCGCACGTATATACAGACAGACACCGTGAGGTTTGCTGAAGGCAACATCTCAGATCAGATCAGTGTGAGATATGGAGAGCCGGGACCCGCGGGGGGTCCGGCGGCCCCACAGTAAGACAACATCGCCGGGACCCCCTTGTACACGGCCCCCCCCGGCC